GATATTAACTGAAAGAAAACTATGCATTCTGGGTACAATTCAGTACATCATAATGCACCAGGATATAGCCAAGAATTATTAGGAAACAAAAGTTTTCCATCAACGTACTCAAAATGTATTTAGAACCGGCATCACTTACCTACAGATGTCATTTTCTGGTTCTTCCAGGCCAAAATGTCTGTCAAAGTCTAGAAGTATCCGAGTGTTTTCCGGAGAAAGGATTTTCCAGGTCAACAGAAGGTTTCTTGGATAGCTGTTAGGGTAGCGCGGACTCTGAATGTGGCCATTCTCGGACACCACGATGGTTTCTTCTTTCCGGTACAAGTCTGTGAGGTGATTGCTGTCTGTTAGTGGTCACAACTTGTATAAGTTAGTATGTTTAATCGTTGGAACAAAACAGAAGAATAGATGAAGAAACTGTACATACAAACAATAAGGATAGTCAGTCTAAAGCACAGAAAAACAACGTAATTATTAATATTTCAATACATAATATAATCCAAAATGTGTCCGAAAATGAAATCACTAAAACAGAATAGAACCTAAAACGTTCTTTAGCCGTCACGCACCTATAACCACTTTATCTAATACAGGGTTATGGGGAGCCGGAGCCTATCCCGGCAAACAATCGGTGCAAGTCAAGATACACCGTGAATATAAGATTAATTTGTGTCCAAATAATTATAAGAGGTATTTTCAATAAATATTTTAAATTTTCCATCAAAAGAAACACGTTTCTTACAATATTTCCCTGTACTCTTTAAAACAGAGTTAGCCAAAAGCTTTTATCGCTTACCATTGTTTTCCAGCATTACAAACTCTGGATATGAAGTGAACACCTATGATTTAAAATCCAGTCGTAATCTATAATTGAATTCTATAAATGAAATATGCAGGGGATTTGAAACAACCAGCACAGCCTTTCAAGCAATACACACACTGAAGTTTGGAAACTGGATTGCAAAAATTTATGAAGCCTTTTATGTTCTTCATGACACTTGCCCAGTGTAAATGAACCCCTGGGCAATACACAACTTGCAAATAAATCACTCCTGACAAAGGGAGAACATCATTTCACACAAATCAAGATTAGTGAATGACTTAATGAATGAACAGATGGACAAATGAAGCAGTAAATTCATACACAGCATTTCTATCTTCTCTGCTGTTTATTAGAGCTGAACCAGACTAGAATCAAAGTGTAACGATGGCGTAAACAGATTCGAATTTATTAACAGTATATAAATTGACCAAATTAGTAAATTAACAAAATTGTAGGCTGCAAGCAACTTGGAATTTGGCAAGTATTCATTGATCATCTTTTTTGTATTATGTGTTTGGAGTTTAATTATATTTTACAATAATAATACAATTATTCTAGAATTACACTAATTTTACAATATAAAATAATTATTAGAGCCACAGTGAACTACAAAAAGGATAACAAGGGAAGCAGGTTATTGAGTTGAGGAGGAGTTGTCCTGAATATCGGCAAAGGAATGCGACCCATGTACTTTATGTGGACAGCTCTTCTAGTCGCCCTTGAAAAATTCTAAAATGGCATTTGAAGTAAATCTGTGTTTGGGGATACAGAAATAATTCCTGTGAAATCAGCCTCTTTACACAACCTTCCAAAGGATCGCCTCTAATCCAAAGTGCTGTGGTAATGGTGTCTTGGTGTCTTGCTGTCATTCCCAAGGGGGTTTGGGAAGATGTGTGATTAAAAATAAAACACAAATCCATCTTTGCATTTTTTTTAGATGCTTTCTGTGGTTTAAGTATGCAGGTCATTCAAAACTCCCTCTGCCAAAGGCATCAATAGGCTCCTATTTTGAGTTGTCTGAGCATCAATGGCAATATCTCAGTGGGAAACGGAGACTGGATTCGAGAAACATGGCACCACACTATATTCGGGAGCTGATACTGTATGTACTCTTTGCTTTAATATCAGTCTTTAAACCCAGTTAAAATATGTATACAGCTTTGGAACTATATTTAAAAACTAAACACTGCCAATCTCTCAAGTGGTGTGCGATGAACAGAAGCTTTCAAACTCTCACATTGAAAATTTAACATTAGACAGTTCTGTAAAAAAACTGCTTGTCCGCCCTTATTTTGCAAAAATGAAATCATCAAAAGATTTAATCTCCTACTATTCCTAGACAGCCGCCATAGTCAGATTTTTGAACCCCTGGTACGCAGTCCGTCATTGGTCCCTAGAGCAGTGCTGATGTATCCCTTTTGTAACCTGAAGTACAATTTCTGGTATAAGTTGTATTTTTGTACTTTTTAGGACATCAAAGAAGGAGGACCTTAGGGAGCTGGCTGTAGCACAAAACAGGTTGAGAAATACTGCTGTACAGCGCACATTTTCTTGTTTCACTGACTGTGAGCCAAAGGATTAACTATTTACATAAGACTGTGCCTCAAGTGAGATGGTTACCTGGACCATCAAAAACTAAGAACTAATTCCAGTGTTGCCAGATTTTGAACTAAAACAACTGTTGTAAATTTGACAAATCTAACTCATGTTTACTCCTCTGACATTACTGAGTTTCAAATCCAGCTTTGGTAAAATGCCATTTCAAATTCTTCACCTTTCTCCACTGTAAATTACATCAAAGTACACAAATAAAACTTTACCAATTCTGAGACTATTCGTACTATAGTTCATTCATTAAGGTCTGTCTATATGCCATAATTTAACACTTGGCATTTCCAAGTATAAGGTGTAGGATTACTATATTCCCATGTATGATCTGTATAATATCATAAGAATATTGATGAAGATTATTTATAGAAGAGCAGAATCATAATTTATCTTCACTTGTCATAACTAACAGACCCGTATGATAGAATCAAGATCAGGCACCAAATAAACAGAGATGGAGAGAAGTACAAAAGCAGAAAGCACTTTGCCCAGAGACAACATCTGACCCTTGCTGCATAAAAACACAGTCCAACGGGATTACATATAAAATGAACAGCTCACATTACAGTAGGGTGAAAAAGAATTTTAAAAGCCATCAGGAAAACAAATTAAGTATCTGAAATAAAGATTTTTTTTCGAATGCAAAGTATAGTGTACAGTAATTCAGAATTACACAGAAACTACTGGTGTAATGAGAAACTTTTTTTGTCCATTGTAATGAATTAATCAATTAAGTTATGCATGGCAAGTAAGTCCATTACATTATGTGCTATTCAAACACCATACAACCTCTTGCAGTAATGGCCTTTAGCATTGTAAGTAATTGGAGTCAATTACACTAGACTGTAAATGGATTAATAATATAGTCCCAGTGGTGTAGCAGTAGGTCAACTTAGAGGTAACCTTGTCCCCACAGAGAGGAAAGTGTGGGAGTGCATTAAGCCAGTGGCCTGTATTCATGAGGGCTAGTATTCATGAGCTATAGTACGCAGTCTTATTGAAAAGTTAAAAACATAGTCAGTTAGTCATACTGACCCACAGATTTCACGGTTTTAGGCTTTACTAAATTCTAATGCTACTTCTGCATCTGTATGTTTTTTAACCATTTACTTCTTTGGGTTTCTAGATTTAAGCTGTTTTTGTTTAGTTGATTAAAAACATTTTATATCTCACAGTGCACCCTGTGTTTAAAGTATTACAGTCTAGGCAGTCATTCTCTTGATTATCTCCTTTTCACCATGTATTTTGACTAGCAGTTTAGCTAGCTAAATTTTGAATGCTTAAGAAAAAATCACTTCTTTTTAATGTGCCCCGAATTTTCTGGTGATAATCTTCCATTTGATATTCTTAGGTTTTGTTAGGTTAGAAAAAATGCTCCTCTTAAAAAAATGAAAAGTGAAATCATTCACAGTATATACAGCATTTACGCCTGACCTGCTTTTTATTCCTTTCTCATTCTAAAATTTTAGTCAGTGATCTGTTTCCTAATATTAAAAAAAAGAAGTCAAGAAGATGAAGTAGTCTGCTTTAATGTAATTCTTTTCTCACGGTGCATTCAATCTGGTCAGTCAGCAGGCAGCCCAGGCAATGAAATGCTACCTCTGTGAGAGTAATAGGCCAACAGTTCCATAATGGCAATACGACATTCCATGATACTGTGGCACAGTGTAAATAATGGGGTCGTGGTACAATTGTGGAATTCTGGAAACCCGGCTCTGCTGCTCTTAATGTTATTAGCTCTGGACAGCAAAATATCATGAATGCTCTGTAACAATTAATCATCCTTGGTCATGTAATGGATCCAGAAATCTCCAAAGGACGGTCCATTAATTGTGTCCCCAAATATTCAGATTGGCATTATTTCTGTCACACTCAGTATGAACTGCCAGACCCTACTGCTGTTGATATACTGTGTTTATACAGTATATGTAACTAGAAACCAGAATCTGGTTTGAGAAGTCAGCATCTCGCATTGTTTAGTTCTTTCTACCAGGCCACAATATTCCTTACTGCATACCTCTGAAGTAAGATGATTAAAGATAATAATCTGACATGCTATATAATGGCTGAATTACAGACTGAAAAATAAATTAGATCACTTTTCACACTCTACAGCTCAAGCAGAGCTAACATCTTTTTAATGTGTGAAGTGCAAATGGTTGTTGTTGGTGTTTTTTTTCTTCATATACAGTACTTCAGATATTAAGGCGCTATGTGAAATGTGTTTCCAATAAAATAGACTCAGAATGCCTCTCAAGTATTAAGTAAGACAACTAATGTGCTGATGTCAGAATATATTATATATTTATAGTTTGCAAATGCTTTCTCAGCCTTTCTGGCTAATTTTTTCCAACTGTTTTAATAGCTTTAATACATCTCAGAAGTTACAATCTGACTTTTTTGTGAAAAATCTGAACTGCATTCTTAGCTGAGAATTGTACTACACCGGAGGAATATTTAAAGAAGTGTTACCTGACATCAGCTACATCGAACACAAGTGTTTTAGCACAAAGACTCACCGGAGGTGAAAATTAACATGACACTTAAATATGATAAAAAAGCAATCTGTGGTTTGAATTTCAAATCAGATTTTGGAGGAGCGCCCTTGATGCACCTTTCTTACACCCTGACTTAAGAAGAACCTAAAGCAAATAAATATGAATTTAATATACATGTGGAGGGAAGACAGGATGGTGGAAGTTGTAATCTTGAATTTAATAAAGCTGCAGTCCAACAATGGGAGAAGGATGAGGGAGACCTAAATAATACCACACTAAAATGAACATTTTTAAAGGCTTTTACCTTTGGTGACTTACAGTAAGTTCAAATCTAACTTAGACATTGAAGAGAAAGGGTCAATTTAACATTCAACTGTATTACAATGCCTGGGCAGAATTTACAGCAATATCAAAC